AGCAGTACTGCACGCCTGTCGGGTCCGTCGTTTCTAAACCAAATTCGCACTATTCTTCTATGCATACGCCATTACACACATCTCTGATTGATTGCAAACTAAATGGGCTACATTTTAATGTTAACTTATAATTTTGTATTCTTAAAATCCATTTATAGCTCACGGTGCCATATTGCAAAATTTCAAATACATGCACTCCCCAAGTTCTGACTATAATCCCTAAAAGCACCTAACCCTAGGGGCCTATATCCGGGGGAACATGGGTTTATGATGTATGACCCTAGGGTCATATATCCAAGCATTTATGTTAGCAATCAAAATGTCTTCGTGCCATGCGAGCACAAAGGGTCGTAGTGGCTGGCCCTACAGTGGCCTTAAAGCCTAAAAACCCTAATTTATGCAAAACGGAAAAACATATGTAGTCCCTTATTAATAGGCCACTATTAACGTGTACATACAAAACCAACCGTAAAGGAAATGCCTATGGGTCTTAATAATTACCTTCCAGTATTATATCCACCCAAATAAACTCATCATTTTTTTTTATACAAGAACTAGGGTGGTCACATTGGGCGCCGCAAGAAGATTTGCTCGTGAGGACTGTCCTGCAAGAAGGCTGTCGAGGAGAATAGGGAGTGAAGCTCGTAGTCATGATGTGCGGCGGGTCACCCTAAGGGGACACAAGCATGGCGCAGAGACGAGGTACAGCAGCCGCAAGGCGAGCTAGCTCGTATGGCCTATCCTCTAGAACGTCATTGCCAAGGGCAGGTGCATCCCCGACGGACGGAGGACAGGCATGGTCAGAGACCAGAGCGGAAGCATAGTCAAGGCAATGGCTTGCGGCAAAGTCAGCGACAGCAGCGACTAGGGCAGACACACCCTTTGGAGGAGCAGTAGGGTCAATAACAAGTGACGCAAGCAAGTGGGAGACAACTGGGTGAGCAGTGCGAGCAGAGTCAGAGAGAGGAGCAAGGGACAGTGGGAGCAACAATTGGGGAGGTAACGGCAGGACGAGGACTGGAGGAGCACGGGAACGAAGAACCATAGGGTGAACACTAGCACGAGGAGAGACAGGACAACCACCAGGGGGACGACGGACCTAGTGGGGAAGAACAGGAGACAGGGGACGCGGGGGGACAGGGGACATGACAGGGGACGAAGGAGACCGAGGGCCAAAACGAGCTGGAGCGAAGTCCGGGGGGGGACAGCGGGCTGTAGACAGGGTGAGGTGGGAGGGGAGGCATTGTGGGAGGGACGGGCGGGCGATCAGGGGAACCGGAGGAAATGCCAAGGAGACGAAGGGCAGAATGCTGCTGTGGCTGCTGCTGCTGCTCCCGATCTATGCCAGAAGCCCCAGCTCCATCACTGCCACCGCCTGTACTCTCCAAGCCAGCACCCTTAGGAGTAGCATCCCCAGACCCAGCAATCCCAGGACTAGCACCCCCAGACCCAGCACCCCCAGGTTTAGCACCCCCAAATCCAGCACCCCCACAACCAGCACCCCAAGAGCCAGCACCCCCAGAACCAGAACCCCCAGAACCAGCACCCCCAAAGGCCACAACCTCCTGCCGTAGCTGCAGCTTCTACTGCGGCCGCTGCTACTGCTGGCTGGGGCACCGGGGCTAGTGGCAGGCGCACCCCCAGCTACGGGGCCTCTAGAGTCAGCAGACTCCCACACAAGCCCAGCCTAGGGGAAGGGAGTGACGTGGGAGACACCAGAAGGGGCCGGGCGAGGTGGGAGGGGAGCAGGAGGCGGAGGAGGGGCATGGAAGAGAGGCGGAGGAGGAACTCGAGTGCCACGGTGAGGAAAGCGGGCATAGAAGGAGACAAACTCATCGAACGTAACATCTCGAGAGTGAAAGTAGTGGTGTTGTCCAGGTGGTAGAACAGCCAGTCAGGGGCGTCGAGCGGGAAACCAAGGAAGTCACAGGGGGAAGTGCGGGTTGAGAGCTTGTCCGCACCAGGGGTGCGGACCTGAGCCAAACAGCCCCAGAAGTGGAACCCTGACGCGTTACCGGGAGACCCAGTCCAGAGAAGGGTCGGAAAAACCAGTGGCCGCAAGGAGCAAGACCACAGGTTAAGCTGGTGAGGCGCATAATGCACGGCGAATGGCGACATAAAATGGGGCGAACCGACATGGACTATGGAGGTGCAGGCCACCTCTATGACCAAGCCGATGCATCGCTCAGCTACCCCATTCTGTTGCGGCGAGTCAGGAAGGGTGAACGTCTGGGTGATGCCATCCGCATGACAGAACTAACCTAGATGACCGGAGGCGAACTCGCCATCACGGTCGGAGTGAAGACGAAGCACAGGTAGGAAGCTCTAGGTGTGGATGATACTGAGCCATAAGAGGAGGGCATCAGGCAAGTCGGCCTTCCGCTCCAACGAGAAAACCGTGGTAAACTGGGTGAAGTCCTCGACGACAACCAGGAATTAGCACTCCCTGTGAGGCCCCTAGACAGGGGTCGGTCCCCAAACGTCCATACGCAGAGTCTGTAGGGGAGCAGTAGTGGGAGGAAACGAGGAGTGAGGGGCGACGCACTGCCGACCCTTGATGCAGGAGGTGCACGCGGGCGCGAGTGAGGTGGGGAGAGCGGGGAGCAACGTGGGGAGACCAGTAACTAGACCGTGGTGTACCATGTGACGCAGACGCGGGATAGCAGGGTGACCTAAGCGGTGGTGCCAAAGGAGTGCCGGGCGGGTGAGGCAGCAACAAGAAGAGGACGCGGCAACCTGGGTGGACGTGGCTACCTTGGGGGACTCTATGTGCAATATGAAAAGACCAGACAGAGGGCTGTGGTCAAAGGTGGTAGGACAAGCACCCGTGGTGGCGCCTGTACAGGCTGCATGTCTCTCATGACCAGGGAACGTGGTGGTGACGCTGAGGTCTTGGATATGGTCGACACCTATCACATTCCTAGAGAAGGTGGGGACATGCAAGCCTGTAAGGGAGCCAAATGGGGACAGCCGGACAAGGGAGGGCGGTGGTACCGCGAGCGATGACTGAGACAGACGAGTCAGCTAGGGAGACTGGAATTGGCAAAGGAAGCGGTGTGGGTGCAGTGCGGTCTCAGAAGAAGCAGTGAGATGAGCTAGAGTCCTGAGTGAAGGAGGAGGCTCCTAGACTACACAAAGCAGAGGATCCTAGACAACACACAATAGAGGCTCCTAGACTACACACAACAAGATAATAACAAGAGTCACCAGCACTCTAATCATCAGAATACATGGCAACAGCTATCTGAGTCCTATCCAGCTCAAACACCGAGATGTCGTAACGGATAAGAGCAGGCCACTTTGGAAGGGCTGCATGGGGCCTAAACTGACGATGGAATAGGTCGTCCGGGCGTCGAAAGCAGAAAGCGGCGGTGTGACCCGTGCGCCCGCAGGTCTGGCCGCTTAGAGGGCCGGACTAGATCTGGTACACACAGCGTACAGGAGACCCAAGCTCGACACCACCCTGGCCCCCGGAAGAGCCACATGAGCCCCAGGGCTGCAACTGCCCCGGGGCCCATCCACTAGGGCCCACACCACGGCCAGAGCCTCCAGTGTCCCATTGCGGCTGCTGCTGCTGCTACTGCTGCTGCTGCAGGGGTGGCTGCTGCTGCCAGTGAGGATGCTGCTGCTACTGCTGCTCTCCATCCTCTTCCGTACCCGCGCCTCCGCTAGCTCCCGAGGCCTCACCAGCGTCCCAACTGCCTGCCGATGCCCCACGACCACCACGGCACTGCGAGCGCTTGGCCAAGTGGCCAGGCGCAGTGACCGCCACAGCAACAGAGGTGGAGGCACCTGAGACAAGGGTGTGAGTCGGAGCGCACCCCTGAAAGATAGGGACCGTCACTGCACCAGTGGACTCAGCGATGGCGCAGAGGCAAGTCTCGACCTCCGTCAGGGAGGTGGAGAAGCCGTCAATGATGAGGGAGGGGACAGTGCAAGGAGTGCATCACGGGCAGGAGCGAGGCGGCCAGGGTGGCGGGTGGTGAGGAGGTAAAGGGTGAGCCAAGTTGGCGGGGGGTGGGTAGCAAGGTTGGCCTTGGGGCATGCTGGACAGTAGCATACCTCGAGGTCTCAGAGGTGCTAGAAAATATCAGCGACCATGGAGGAGGAGGCCAGGCCGGGGAAGAGGAACGGGAGGCGGCTGAGGGCGGCTGAGGATAGGGATGGGTAGCGAGCCTCGACTGCGGTCCAGAGGGCCTGAGCTGCCTCCTGCGAAGCAAAAAGCGCATGCTCGGCTACCGGCAGGCACTTGATGATGCTCAGCAGTGCAGCAGCGTCGTTAGCCTGCCAGCTGTCGTTCGCAGTCCGGGCAGCTGCGTACACCTCACGCTCCTCTGACATCGCATTGGAGGCAAGGGGAGCTGGCGGTTGGCGGCAGCGAGCTGGTGGCAGCGTGCTGGCGCTTGGCTGGCAGCTGGCGGCAGCGAGCTGGCGGCGAGCTGACGACGAGCTGGAAGCAAGCCACTGGCGGTGAGCTGGCTGCGACCGGCTGACGGCAAGCTAGCAGCAGGGAGGGAGCGGTGGGCGGCTGCCAGTGGCGAGCTGGCAGCGAGCGAGCTGGCGGCAAGCGGGCGGCGGCAAGCTGCAAGCGAGCTGCTGGCAGCGGCTAGCTGGCGGCGATCTGGCAGCAGCTAGCAAACTGCTGGCGGCAGCGAGCTGATGGTGAGTGGGCAACGACGAGCGAGCTGGCGGCAAGCTGGCGGCGGCGCGCTACAAGCGAGCTGCTGGCAGCGGCTAGCTGGCGGAGAGCTTGTAGCAGCTAGCAAGCTGCTGGCGGCGGCTGCTGGCGGCTACGCACTGCGAGCGAGCTGCTAGCGGTGGCTAGCTGGCGGCGAGCTGGCAGCGACTAACGCGCTGCTGGTGCAACAGCCTAAAGCCTAACTAGGACTAAGGAGGTAAGCTAGAGTGGGAGGGGAGTGGATAGCGCCTAGGGCGGAAGCGTGACGGCTAGTAGCTAGACTTAGCTCTATACCATGTCGAGAGAAAAGTTGACTACAGGGGTGAGAGTATAGGTATATGGCTAAGATTTGTACTCTTTAAGAACTGATCCTAGCTAGGCTACCGCATACATGTATATGAACATAAAAACACTCGATTCTATCCTGCTAGTCCCTCTCCTCATCCATCACCTCAGGGTGCTTCCAAACACCATTGCACACTTCACTAAGTGCATGAATCTTTCGTTCAGCTTATCACCCCAACGCTCCCTGCCTACCCTTCTCTCCACCCTCGACCCTCTTCGGCAGCAGAGTTCTCGGTAACGCCCAGACCAGTGATTTCGTAAGCGCATTGCCCACCTCGCCCTCGATCCGATCCTCATACTCACACGTATAGTGCGCATTATACCGCCCACACGAATCCAAATACCGTGGCGCTGCCACATGCCATAGATCCACAAACATGATTCCCTCCCTTTCAGCAAGTTTCTTGGCAAGGCTGTTTGCAAAAATGAGCCCTTGGTTGGTTCGGCCGGAGCAGACAGCTTTGGAGAAGCCCGTCGGGAAGGGAGGGGCTGATACAAAGAGCACCGAGCGGATCGGCCGGCCTCGGTTAGCAGTGCTAGCGCGAGAGATGCTGGTACTGATGCTGCCACCACCGCCGCCACTGCTGCTACTGTTGCTGCTGTTACCGCTGCCACTGCTGTTACTGCTGTCATTGCTGCTGCTAATGCCACTTCTCCCACTACTGTCACTGCTGCTGTCACTACTGTCACTGCTACCCCCTTCCCCGCCACTCCCTTCCCCCCCACCACTCCAGCTATTGTTCCTCACGGTCTTGAGCCAGTCCAGGAACACAGGCAGGCCGCGTGCGTACGCCACCTCGGGCTCGGTGCAGAAGGTGAGGGTCCAGTGGGCGCTGTTCGCCACCAGCACGTCCGGCGTGGGGCTGATCGTGGGGAAGGAGTCCACCCGACCCGAATACTCGCCTCGGTTGCTGGTGGGGGGTGAGCAGTGGGGAAAGGGGGTGTGGGTAGAGGGGGAAGGCGGGTGTGGGGGGAAACGTTGAGTTGATGCATGCATGAGGGTAGGCGAGGGTCCATTGGGCTCTGTTCGCCACCAGCACGTCTGGTGGGGCTGAATCAGGGTTTCCGTCAGCAGTGTCTGCTCTCACTACCGGCAGCTCTTGCCCGAACGAGCCTACACCAGATGTAGTTTTGAGTTGACTCAAAAGTCAGCACGTCTGGCATGGTTTCACCACCAGCAGCTCCTAACCAAATGTGCCAACATCGGAGTTTGAGCCCTGTGTGAGTTCCATCTTTAAGAAGCAGCAGCAAAGGAGTTAAGCAGCGAAGGCAATTTATCCCTGGTTTCATGCAAAGGAGAGTGGAGATCAGGCAGAGAGGGAGGCAGAGGAGGCAGAGACGGAGGCAGAGAGGGAGGCAGAGGCGGAGGAACTTAAACGCATCTGTCCTGCCAATTCCTGTAGAGCCCGTCCACCCAGTAACGCCAGATTCCCATCCAAAAGGAAAGCAGAGAAGGGCATAGAGCAGTGCGAGAGCGAGAGGAGAGAAAAGGTCGAGAGGGAGGTAGAAAGAAAGGCACTTACACGCATCCGTCCTGTCCATTTCTGTACACCCCATCCACCCAGTAATACCGAATCTCCATCCACCGATCCCCTCAACCCCCTCTTCCTCCCCGCCCCTGCCTCTGCACCCCCCGCCATGTCAGCAACCGCATCAGCCGCCACCACCGCTGCTGCAGCGTCCAGGTCAGCACTCTGCACCACGTCATCATGGGCAGGGTCCACCACACTATGCTCCGAGTTGTGACACGCGCGGATCAGCCCAGAGGAGGAGATTAATGAGCACACCTGCTCGTGCACATTTCTCTCAAACTTCACAGTCCTCTGCCCGCCCAGCCTCCCCTCCCCCTTCCCTGGTCCCCGCTCGTCCCTCAGCAGCGAGTACGTGAGGTCATAGAACAGATTCCGCATGTTGGAATCCCCCACCAGAGCAAACCGAGTCGAAATCTCCAATCCTTGAATCCCAGAATCCACCACCCCTCGCTCCCTCCTCCCCTCCTCCCGCTTTCCCTCCGCTGTCCCGCTCCCCGCACCACCGCCACTACCCGCACTGCCGCTTCTTAGCTTCCCGGCTATTTCTGCCTCCTGAAACGCCGGCCCTAGGTTTATAAGAAAGTCCCTTAGGAGCTGCTTCTCGGATTCACAGGCGAACAGGCCCTCCTCCTCGCACCCAGCAGCATCCTGACGTTGATCCACAGCCACGTGCTCACTTTCGCTTCCAGTCTTGCTTGCACTCTGAGCTACAGCACCAGCACCAGCACCAACACCAGCAGCACCAGCACCAGCACCAGCACCAGCACCAGCACCAGCACCAGCGCCAGCACCAGCACCAGCACCAGCACCAGCGCCAGCACCAGCACCAGCAGCACCACCAGCACCAGCACCAGCAGCACCACCACCACCACCACCAGCACCAGCAGCAGCAGCAGCGCCAGCACCAGCACCAGAAGCCGCACCAGCAGCAGCAGTACCAGCTTTCCCGGCTCGCTGCTCTTGCGCCCAGCGCATGTTCCTGCTGCCTATGAGCGGCACTGACATGGGTGCACAGGCATAGGAGGTCCACCTGGTGACGGGAGGGCAGGGAGGGTAGCAGAGAAAGGGCGGGATGGGTGAGACATCCCTGACATTGCACGTTCCTGCTGCCTATGAGCGCCACTGACATGGGTGCACAGGCGTAGGAGGTCCACCTGTGTGTGGAGTGGGAGGGGAGAAAGGCATGGGTATGGACGAGGTGATGACCACGAGGGGACGGCAGGGGCAGGACAGAACACGGCTTAAGTGTGGTGCATGTTGCCTATGAGCACCATTGAGATGGCTGCACAGGAGTAGGAGGTCCACCTGGTAATGGGGTTTGAACAGGGAAGGGAAGGCGGAAAGGGGGGGGGGGATGGGGAGGGGAAGGCGCCACCTCACTCACTTGTATGATCCGTTGGGTCACCTTAGCCACCGAGCGAACGAATGTGCCCAGAGACAGAACCATCCCACTCACTTGTACGATCCGTCGGGTCGCCTTAGCCACCGAGCGAACGAATGTGCCCAGAGACAGAACCATCCCACTCACTTGTACGATCCGTTGGGTCGCCTTAGCCACCGAGCGAACGTGCCAACAAAGCAGGGCGACGGAATCGCTGCCACCTCCAACCCCAAGTCGCCCGTCAACTCCGTTTCTCCCCCTGCACCTGCGCCTGCCCCACCCTCCCCAGATGAGGCTGAAGCTTCGGCGGAAAGGTTGGCGGAGGAGGAGGCAGAGGGGGGGGCGGAGAAGGGGGGGGGGGAGGGGGAGGATTCGGGGGAGAGGACATGCAGGCGGAAGTAGCGGACCTCCCCTGGACCCCTTGGGGTAAAGTAGCGCGAGCCGACGGCACTCTCGTGCGTGCAGTCCGCGCGGACCACGCCCCTGTTGGGGTGTTTACAGGAAGTATCCAAGTGAAAAAGAAGTTGGGGTTGTAAGTGAGAGAATAGAAGGAGTATCTGATGCAACAAAAAAGAATAGGGTCCAACCTGCCACACCGTACCTGGAGCCACAAATGCCTAAACTCGAATTTCCACGCACCTAGTCGCCCTTCCAACCCAAGTAGTATCTATAGTCGCCCTTCCTACCCAAGTAGTACCTATAGTCGCCCATATCCCAGATCAGCACCGACAGCTGCAGCAGCGGCCCGTTCGGCGTTGCCGTCTGCGAAACCAGCGAAGCGTACTGGAGAGACGGGCCGTATAGGATTACCATCACGTCTGCCATAAGCACTTGCGTGTGCGGCCGCAGCAGCTGCTCCAGCTCCAGCATTACGTCGTAGAATGGTAACCCTTTCGCGGATTTCGCCGCAGGTTTCGCAGCACCCGCGCCTGCTTCGCCGACGCCCTTCTCCTCCCCAACCACGCCGTTCGTACCGTTAAGAGCGTGCTTAGGCACAAGCAGGAGGAAGGAGCAGGGCACGCCGGCGTAGCACACGTGTGCACGCTGATTGTCCAGCTGATGCCAGATGTACTTGTCTACTAACGCATATTCCCTGTGGTGACCGGGTTCTCTGGGCGGGTTACGCGGCTTAAAGGGGACAGGAGCGAGAGCGGCGGGGGAACTCCCTGGGTTAGGGGTGGCAGACGGTGGGGGGTTGGAGCGGGGATGGGGGGAGGGAGGGCCCCTCCCCGGGGGCGGGGAGGCGGGAGGAGGGAGAGAATGGAGGTGGGGGCGAGAGGGGGTGGAAGAATACACACTGCCGTTGGCTCCGCCCTCCTCCGTCTTCGCTATTATCCCACCCGTTACAACCACTCGAGCCTGGTCGCCAGGCTGCACGCACGGGGAGCGGTGGAGCGCAAGGGGGGACGGGGGAATGAGGGCAAAGGAACCACGTGTTGAACAACAGGCCATATGGCAGTCGAGCAGTGAGTAAAAAAAGTGGAAGGGGACTCCGGCGCCGATACTATCATCGTTTCGGAAACGATACTATCATTTGGGTGGCGCCGATAGGGAGAGCGAGTGGAACTAAGGGTGTCCAGCTAGTAGGCTGTCAAGGTACGGGTGTCAAGCTTACAGGGTGTCAAGCTACAGGGTGTCAAGCTACAGGGTGTCAAGCTATGATAGGGATTCAGGCCGAAAACGGAGGTTGTTTTAGAGCCAAAGCGCGGCGGCAGAGAGAAGGGCGTGGATACAGGATAGCATAAGGCGCGCGGTGTATCCTTATGCTATCCTGTATTGTGAGATAGCGAGATACCGCAAATGCCGTGTACGCGTCAGTGAGTGCGCGCGTTTGCTGTGCAACGCGTGCGGCGATGCGGGGAATGCGGGGGTGCGTGCTGACCTGGACAGTGCTGAGCGCCACAAGCGACGCCACTGCCAGCGCGAACAACGCGATAAAGAGCCGTCCCGCTAACAGCGATAACGTGACGGCTTCCACTGCACGTTTCTCGAAAGCTCCCTTCGACGTGGTAGGCGCGTCCGCCTGTTTTCCACATCCTCCTTCCCGCGACGACGGCACGTCCCCTTTCAACGAGAATGGAACTGCTAGTTGCGGGAGGATGCCATCATCAGCCAGGCGTGTCGCGACGCAACACCGGAGCACAAACGCATACATCCGAAGGGCGGGCGGTGGCTCTGTAACGGTTGTAATAGTGTAAGGATCGGTGGATTATCTTGGGAAGGCGTAGGTTTCTAAGGCTCGGTGCAAGAGTAGCTCCTAGAAGCTGGTCGTTACTATTTGAAGCTTTTTCCATCGCAAATACTTTCACCTTTTTCAGGCGAGCACAGGACGGGGGGGAAACACGCGAGCAGGTGACAGCAGAGCGCTGGGAAAAGAATCGTGACGCGAAGAAGGTGCTCCCAAACCTTCCCTCTATGGCGCGGTTGTAGCAGTCTTCCCTGCTCATCGCCCGTATCTACATGCGACTACGAGGACCTCGTATTGTACAGAGATAGAGCCCAACCTTAGGGCGTGGAACATACACTCACGTGATTGAGGCCTGTTTTATAAACAGCAAGGTAACCCATCTCGTCAATATTCGCGACTACACACGCGAAAGTAGTGGCGATGGATTCGGTCAGTTCTGAAACGGAGGTGCCAGTGTTGTTCAAACGGCGTTTTCAAACGTGTCACAACCACATTTTTTGTCACCCGTGTCGCATGCGCGAAAATGACGACAGTGGGGGTTGGAGCAGAAAGTGGGGGCATGCCGCTGAGAGGTCGTCCTAACCAACTATCACATTCGCCAGATTCGTTGTTCTTCGTGACTTCGCAAATTTTTGGTTTGGTCAAATGTTCGAAGGTTTGTTACCAGGTTGGGTCTCTGAACCTACCTCTGTTCGGGGAACAGAGGTACCAAATGTGTTCGGCGTTTTCCCTTCGTGTTTTTGTGACCGAGTCACGTGATTGAGAGGGCGTGATTGTATGTACCACGCCCTTAGCGCCCAGGATACAGAACCCGACCGCCACGCACGTGTGCGAGACTGTACATGGGTGCGCCCCCGATAATGTGGTGTGCTATGACACTGTAGCGAAACGGATGGAGATCTTATATCGGAAGAAACCATTACAGGGAAATTCAGCCCAATAAAGCTCATCCACTGTACATATCATGGACTACGTTGTATTTTCCATAAGTGTGTAAAAATTTTAGGAATCTCCCACTTATTGACGTAAACCACGCGTTTAGGGTAGTCAGGATCTAGAGTGTTGAAGTATATTTGACATAGTTTACTAGTAGTGCGATACCTTATATAAAAGAACACGCGTGATGACATCAGCAGTAGCGAGTTAACGCGTGAACGGTAGGTTCGCGAGTATAGTCACCCGAAGGGTTACGCCACTCTTAGTCACATGAACATTCACTAGTCATGTCATGCGAATAGTCGCGATACACTACGAACAGGTACTGTATCCGCCTGGATAGGCGCCCCTAGGGGCATCAAGGGTGAACATTTTTGGGTTGCGGAGCGACCTATTACGATCAATCGGACGAGATTTTGTTTCACGTTTAATTAACAGATTTGTAAGAAAATCTATTATATTGAAGTAAAAGATGGAGATTCATGACCAATAAAATAGGAATCATTCATTTTAACTATATGGATTCAAAAATTGTAAATGTTTTCCAAAATTGCCTATCGCGTATTTTTGTCGACGACAAAAATAGGCAATCGCTTCCCAAGCTAAGTGGGGGAAATCGAAAGCCTAGTGGACAAGTCACACATCATATTTTGAGGTAATACATTTCATGATAACAACAAAATGGGTTGCACTTATCAACTCCAGTTCAAATGACGGCACTCAAGGTGGAAAGTCAAAGAACCTTGAGACGATCAATACAACCCACTTTCTTGCATACAGAAAATGCACCCCCCGTCTATCAAACAATGGTAGCAAAATGGAAAAATGTCACATCCCAACACAGAGCAAAAGAAAAAGAACACTGTCACAATACATGGACTCTATGATGCATCTGTCAAGCATAACTTATGTTCTTACCGTAGACTATACAGGTTTGTGCCTTAGAGGGTACAACACACTAGTCTATATTGCCCTGTATCTTCCTATTCTAGTCATTCTCTCTTTCTAACATGGTATCATGAGTAAGTTAGGTTCCTCTCGCTCGCCCGCGCTTCCGCCCTAGGCCCTAGCCCCCCTCTCGTGCCTCGCCCCTAGATGGCCCGCCCGGGCCGCTTCGCGCCTGCTCCTAGCCGGCCCCCTGGCCGTTCGCGCCCGCCCCTAGCTGGCCCCTTGGCCGTCGCGTCCGCCCCTAGCCGCCCCCCTGGCCGTCACGCCCGCCCCTAACTGGCCCCCCGGCCATCGCACCCCTCCTAGCCGGCGCCCTGGTCGTTCGCGCTAGCTCCTAGCAGGCCCCTTGCGCCCCTGTCGCGCCCGCTCCTCGCCGGTCCCTCGTCGGCCCCGCCCGCCCCCTCCCCCCCCCCCCCCCCCTCCCCCCTCTTCTAGCCGGCCCCGGGTTCGCTACGCCGCCGGCCCGTCTCTGCCTCGTTCCCAGTTCGTCCTTCTCCGATCTGCACTGCCCTACACCGCCCGGAGCCGCTCTCCACCACTTGGCACCGTACTCCACCATCCGGCACCGCACTGCACTGCACCGCCTTGCACCGTACTGCACCGCCCCGCACCGCACTGCACCGCTCAGTACCGCACTGCACCGCACTGCACCGCTCTGCATCGTTCCTGATGGCGCTTGAGTTTGATGCGTGGCTGGTCGACCTCAGCCGCCATCTCACTGATCAGCGGCAGGATGGCCACTCGCTGTCTGTCCACCTTGACGGTATGCTCCCCTGCCCTGACCCCCCTTATGTGCTGCCTGCTGACCCCTCGTCTGCTGAGCATGAGTCCGCTGCCGCTGCTGCCCTTGCTCGCACTGTCTGACTGTCGCGTGACGCTGTTGCGCAGCTTGCTTTAAGTCCGTCACGACTATCAGCCATGCCCTCCCACTCTCTGGGCGCCCTCGTTTTAAGTCCATCGCGACTGCGCAGGCATTCCTAGACGCTGTTGTCCAGCGCTATTCCACCCCGCCTGCTGCCTCTGTAGGTCGCCTGATCCTGCCAATGCTTTTCCCTGACCTTGCGTCTTTCCCTACTGTCGCTGAACTTGCCGCCCACCTGCGCACGATAGACGCGACCTGGCGCTCTGCCTGCACTAAGACCCAGCTTCGAGCTCATCAGCCGCCCCTCTGCTCTACCCTTTACCTGCTAGCCACCCGCCTCCCTAACCGTCTTGCCACTGCCCGCGACCGCTTCCTTAGCGTCCACCCCGGTGACCTCACCCTCACCGACTTTGTCGACACCCTGTCTGCCATAGAGACCCCCCACCGCTCTATCGCCCAGACTAGCGGTACTGTGCCAGTCCCCATCTTTCAGGGTTGTGCCCCTACCCAGTGCACCTTCTCCGACGGTTCTGCTGCTGTGGCTGAGACTGCTGCTGCTGCGCAGCTCCGTCCGGGGAAGGGTCGCCGCCCCAAGGCTGGGCGCGGCGGAGGGGGTGGGGGTGCAGGTGGAGGTGGTGGTGGAGTCGGGGTGCCTTGTGGTGGCGCAGACGAGGGGACTGTCCCTGGTGCTGCCAAGCAGCCGTCCCAGCAGCCGCAGCCGTCGCAGCCGGACCAGCACCACCCGCAGCCGCAGCCGCAGCTCCAGCCGCAGCAGCAGAGGCGGGCGAGTGGTCCCCCGCCCGGGTGGCCTGGCGCTGGTGGCGGCGGTGGACGCGGTGGTGGACGTGCGCGTGGTGTGCTCCCGAGTGGGAGTTCGGGTGACGGGTGCTGCCAGTACCAGCTCCTGACCGGTCCTCGCCGCGGCTCCGTTTGCGGTAAGACCGGTCACTCCCCTGCTCGCTGCTTTGGTCGCCTTGACAACATGTTTCGTCTTCGCTTCGGCCCGTTACCCGACCTCCCCGACTAGTTCAGCTTGCTTCGCCGTAGTATTCCGATTTTTGATATGGACATGGATGAGCTTAGCTCTGCCCTGTATGTGTTGTATGCTGATGACTCTAGTGTCACTGGTTCTTACTACCCCGTGTTGCCTAGTGTGCCTAGTCTTGTCCCCCCTGCTGCGTCAGGCGTAGGACCTCCTGCCTTGTTTAGCCTAGGTTCCTCCATCGTTGCTTCGACCCCGGCCGCCAGTGCTGCGCTCACCTTTACCCAGGACTCTGGCGATTCCCGGTGTTTCTTCCGTGACTCCACTACGTTGTCCCCGCTTGCTGCTCCTACTGTGGTTTCCCTTGCTGACCCCTCCTCCGGTCTAGTAGTCGCTCGTAGTTCTACCACCCTTCCCTGCCCGGCGGCTCCTTCGGGCTTGCTCACAGGCTTGCACGTCCCCTCGTTTTCCAGGAACCTAGTTGGTGTTGGCTGCCTCCAGGACCTTGGCGTCACCACTACGTTCTTTGGTCACGAGCGGCTTGCTGTCTATACTGAGGCCGCCACTGGTGCTCCCCTCGCTACGTTCCCCCGGGACCCGGTGTTTGGCCTGTTCACACGGACACCGCGCCCCCCCCGGTTTGGACGCCTCCCCAGGTAGCTGTCTCGTCTCAGGTTGCAGCGGCCTGCTCGTGTCGGTTGCTTACCCACCCGAACCTCCTGTGGCACCACACTCTAAGTCACCCTGCGCTCCCGCGTCTCCGTCACATGTCACAGCACGGTCTTGTCCTAGGTCTCCCAGGGTCGTTCCCAGCGTTGCCCCCCTCCACAGCGCCACTGTGCACGCCCTGCGTTGAGGGTCGGCTCCGTCGTGCCCCTCACTCCTCCTCTTTCCCCCCCACCACCGCACCGCTACAGACCTTGCACATGGACGTCTGGGGCCCCGCCCCCGTCCATGGACCACGTCGCGAGTGCTACTTCCTCGTGCTTGTCGACGACTACACGCGCTACACAACGGTTTTTCCCTTGGAGCGGAAGGTCGACGTGCCTGACATTATTATCCCCTGGCTAGTCTCTGTGCGTGTCCACTGCGGTCTCCCTGTCCTGCGCCTTCACTCTGACCGTGGTGGCGAGTTTGCCTCCGGTGTCCTTAGTCGCTTTTGTCGTGTGGAGGGCATCACCCATACGTTCACCCTGCCGGACTCGCCGCAGCAGAATGGGGTCGCTGAGCGATGCATCGGTTTGGTCATGGAGGTGGCTTGTACCTCCATGATCCACGCCAGTGCACCCCATTTTCTGTGGCCGTTTGTGGTTCGCTACGCTGCTCACCAGCTTAACATGTGGCCGCACTCCCAGCGGCTACAGGTTTCGCCGACCCTTCTTTGGACCGGGTCTCCTGGTGACGCGTCTGCGTTCCACGTCTGGGGATGCCTTGTTCACGTTCGTGCCTCTGGCACGGACAAGCTTACTGCCCGCACTGTCCCCTGTGTCTTCCTTGGTTTCCCCCTTGACTCGTCCGACTGGCACTTCTACCACCCGCCGTCCCACCGTTTCTTTCACTCCTGCGACGTTACCTTTGACGAGTCCGTCTCCTTCTACCACCGCTTTCCGCACCGTGGTCCCCCGGTTACCCCCCCCTCTGTTCCTCGTTCCCCCGTCCCTGGTGGCCCTAGCCCTGGCCCCACCGCGTCCTGCCCCGTCCGGTGTATCTCACGTCACTCCCCTCTCGTTGGTTGTCCCGGTTGAGGAGTCTGCTGACTCTGGTGGTGCTACGGCCCAGTCCTTGCCGCCTGCCTCCCCCCCGGTGTCTCCTCCTCCGCCGCCGCAGCCGCAGTCATCGCCGCTGCCGCTGCCGTTGTCGTCGCCGCCCGAACCGTCACTGCCGCAGCAGCCGTTCGTCGCCTCTAGTGGTACTGGAGTTGGGACCAGTACCAGTGCTGGCGGGGTTTCTGGCTCTGGGGGTGTTCCCTCTGGGGGTGCAGGAGTGGAGTGTTCCGGCGGTAGCTGTGGAGCTGCTGGTGGTCCTGGAGTCGGTGTTGTGCCGCAGCAGCCGCAGTCCCCGCCGGTGTCAGCCCTTCGCCTGCTCGGCCTTCCGTCCCCTCCTCTTCCGGTCTACGGCCCTGTGTTCCCTCCCCCGGCATCGTCCCTGGCTCATCTCCCTCCTTGTTCCCCCCTTGTGTCTCCTCCTCTGTCTCCTGACCCGACACCTCCGTCGCACGTCTGGTCCCGCCGTCCCTCCTGTGCTCGCCCTTTCTCCCCTGTCTTGCGCTCCCACCCTATGTTGCTTCGTTCCCACGTGGCGCGTCCTCCCCTCCTGCCCTCGCCTCATCCGTCCTCCCTTGTCGTTGCGCCTCCCCCTCTGTCCGACTTCCTTCGTGCCGCTCGTCCTCTTGTTCCTCGGGTCCTTGCCTCTCTCGTTACCGACCCGTCTGTTCCGGTTTCACGCCTTGACGCTCTTGTCGCTGCAGTTGCTGACTTCACCTCTACCCGCCGCCTTGACTACGCCACCGCTCTGGTCTCTGACCCTGCCAGTCCTCCGTCTGTCGGGGGTTCTCCTGCCCTTGGCAGTGACATCCTGGAGGACCGCCAGTACGAGCTTGCTTTCTTGTCTGAGGCTGCTCCCCATCTGTGTTCCATGCTGCTAGTCCCTGAGGCTGACCCAGACGCTTTCGACATCCCGACCCCTCGCATTTACGCTGAGGCGGTCTCGGGACCTTGGGCCTCCCAGTGGATAGATGCCATGGAGCAAGAGATGGCATCTTGGAGATCCACCGGCACCTACATCGACTACGTTCACTCCTGGGACCCAGGGGCTCCTTCGGCGCCCCGTCTACGGCATGCGGCAGGCTCCTCGTGAGTGGCACGACACGCTGTGTGCTACCCTTGCTGACCTGCAGTTCTTTTCGTCCTCTGCAGACCCCTAGCTCTTCGTTCGTGCTGGTCAGACTCCATTCTACATCCTTGTTTACGTAGACGACCTGGTCTTAGCCACTGCAGACAGGGACGCACTGGCCTCGGTGAAGGCAGAGCTCCTGAAGAGACACACCTGCACTGACCTTGGAGAATTGCACCACTACCTCGGCTTTCAGATCTCCAGGGACAGAGCAGCCCGCACCATCACCTTGACTCAGTCACACTTGGTGCGCCAGGTCCTTCAGAGGTTCGGCCTTCAGTTCTCCTCCGCACAGCCCACTCCTCTGCCTCTAGACCACAGGCTCTCCGCTCAAGTTCATGAAGAGTCAGTAGAGCCCAGTGGTCCTTACGCAGAGCTGGTGGGTTGCCTCATGTACCTGATGACTTGCACTCGCCCAGATCTCGCATACCCTCTCAGCATCTTGGCATGCTTTGTGGCCATAGGTACACACCGACCCCAGCACGGGTCTGCCACTAAGAGGGTTTTGCATTATCTTGCAAGTACATCCGGCATGGGGTTAGTGCTAGGAGGACGCAGGCCAGTGGTCCTTACTAGACACACAGACGCTTCTTGGGCAGACGACGCTGAGACCCTCAGGTCCTCTCAGGGCTACTGCTTTAGCCTTGGTTCAAGTGCCGTCTCGTGGAGAGCTACCCGCTCCTCATCTGTTGCCCAGTCCAGCTGTAAGGCCGAGATCTACGCCGGTGCCATGGCGGCACAGGAGCTCCGCTGGCT